TGCAAAAGTAATCACACATGCATTACATTTTGGTTTTATTCATAACCTGTATTGTTGCTGTTTTCCCTGACCTGTCTGCTGTGTTCCTGGGTCTTCAGGATGCCGTTTGTTTTCTAAGTAACTTTTGAGGCCATAAACGGAGCAGCTGGATTTATAAGATAAAATTTCACATTAACTGGGGCTGAAACGATTAATCGTGATTAATTGATTATCAAAATAATCATCAAATAATTAACTGGAGTATACAAACTAAAATTATCATTATTAATTAATAACTGATGTTTAGCAGAAAGTGCTGGACTTTTCACAAAGTGAGCTGAGTTTTTTTTGCCTTTGCTTCAAATGAAGTGTTAATTTTACTTAATAAAATGTTTTTATTTAAAAAATGAATTGAATTGTTTATTTTCATCTTTTCTTTTTGTAGTATTGTTAGTTGGTTAAATCAGAAATTAGCAGAATGTGCCTTTTTTTTTTATCCGATTAATCGATAGAGTAACCGTTAGTCGCAGGCCTAACGTCAGAGTTGAATATAAAAAGCAACAGCAAGAATATTTCAGGATCTTCCCTGCATGTTGAGCTCTGATTGTTTCAGTTTCTGTTTTCTGCTCTTTGACTTTCATTCCTCCATCCCTCCCTCCCACCATGTCCCCCAGCTTCCCAGAACCAGAACTGGTTTCTAACAACATTTCATCATCATTTTTGCACCATGAAGTCAATGGTCCGTCCTTCATTCCCGTCCCCCTCTTCTCCCTCTCTTCCTTCCCTAACAGCTGCACCAGTACCAGCAGGCTTTTGTCCAGCAGCATCAGCAGCATCATCATCAGCAGCAGCATCATCCCGCTCAGCAGCCTCTTCCCTATCTGTCTTCCCCTCTTGAGTTCCAGATCCCTCTGGGTTCTTATAGTGCTGCCACGCCCACAGCTGGACCCATCGCTGGACCATCACCTGTGGAAACCTCCTACACTAACCCCAGGTAACACATTTTCGCTTTGCCCACAGTAACATTCAAGCAATTTTAAGGTAATTTTTCAAACTTTTCCAGAACTTTGGAGATAAAACAACAGTTTCACTATTGTGTGTTCATGTTACTCTATAGCTGTTGCAAGGTGAACAAAATCAGGGATTCCCAAACTTTTAACCCTTTAACCTCTGGCTTGGAACTTCCTTTGTTGAAAATGCTGCAAAATATGTAAAGAAACCCACTTTGAAAAACACTGAACTAAAATATAACAAACTTTTAGGTTTTCAAATGTCTGCCTCTCACCTTGTACATCTGACTGGTCAAAAAGCAACAAAAACAAATGGTTTCATTTCTGTATGAAGTCATTGTAGTTGCTTCATTTTGGTACTGCAAAGTAATGTAAGAAAGTGCAATCCAATGTTTGATTAAAAACCTAAATTTGGAAAGTGTTATTTACATTTGGAACCAGATATTTTCATACATGTAATAAAAACAAAAAAATTTTCTGTACTGTCTGAAGTTAAATCAAACTAAACTTATGCTTTAGGTTAGCTAGAATCACGAAAATATATCTACTTGCTAAAAGCCAGAAAACTTCACTGTTTTTTTTTTTTTTAGGTATTTTTGTGAAACTTTCTTTGTATTTCATGTTTAGGTACTTAATTTGAGCAGGTCGTCATTGGTGTTGGCACAATTTTCTTCAGTTGTTTCTATGCGATTAATATTTATTATTCCTAATTTCTCAAAGACCTATGAATCTGTGTAAGTGAGATAAAAGGTAAGCTTACACTTTAGACATTTTTTATTCAAATTGGTTGATTTTTTTTTTTTTAAATCTTTATTTTTGTGGTGCAGGAAAAGTTTGAAAACTTGCCTTGAAAATGTTTGAAAAGTGTTTGGGAAGAGCAGGATCCCTGAGGCTCATGTTTTCCTCTCTGCAGAAACCCCCTGCTGGCCACAGACGGTATCACGCCGACTTCCCAGAGCAGCAGCAGCAGCAGCAGCAGCAGCGTCAGTCACCCGCCCGACATGTCGGGCTGGAACCCGTTCGGAGAAGACAACTTCTCCAAGCTGACCGAGGAGGAGCTGATCGACCGAGAGTTCGACATGCTCAGAGCAAGCAAGTCAACGTTTCTCTCCTTCCTCCGAGTTTGAACCAAAGTTTGAAACTCTGAAATTTCTAGTTTTGGTTTTCTATTTTTTTTTTCACACTTGAAACCACATACTGTTATGCATTTAATAAAAAGACACACATTTACAAAATTAATTTACGCTTAATTTTAGTGTAAATTAACTTCACACAATGAAGTTAATTTACACTATTTTTTGTCAGAATCACCCAAATTATTTCTATTTGGTAAAAAAAAAACTTAACTCAGAAATTTCAATGTTTTTTTTTTATTTATAGAAAATGTATAAGTTTTCTTACTAATTTTTTACTTTTTGAGCTCAAACTTTTTGTTCTCAAAATTAAATTAAAAAAAAAAATCAACAATTAAAGCTCAGAAATGTGCTTGTTTTTTTTTCTAGAAAATTTCTGAGATTAATCACAAAATTTGAGTTTTTCTAGCAATTTATTGACTTTTTTCTAAAAAAGTTTTAAGAATAATCTAAAAATTTCAGTCTTTTTTTTTGGTGTGGAAATGAACTTCATTTTTTTAATCTACCCTAATTTTTTGTCGTATTTAAAAAATATTAAATTTAACTTAAGACTTCCTGTAGATGTGCTGAAATTATCTCAAGAAGCCGTCTTTTGTTCCCGTTTGTAACTGGGACGATGTGCTGATGTCCAAACAGAGAAGCCAGAAGAGCGAACGGTCGGCGTGGAAACGGACCCGGCGCCGGCTGCAGCTCTTCTGCCGGAGGATCTGTTCGGCTCGGTCCCCTTCGTGGCCAACGCAGGCAAGTCTTAGAGGAGTCTCTGCCCCGCCGGCCCGGTACTGTGGAGCCACCTGAGCCTCCAGGCAGGAACCCACAATAAACCAAGTTCCACTGGTGCAGACGCAACCAGGAAGTGTGTTGCTGCTCCCGCTTTAACCAGCTGGAAAATTAAAGGCAGCCATGTTCTTCAAACATACTCAACACTGGGCTCATTTATCACTAGTTACCACTATTCTGCTCTAACAGACATTTATGCAACATGCTGAACTCTGCTCTGCAGGAAGCTAACGGTACCGATGTGTGGGAGGAGCTTCGAGTCTCTGCGTTGACGCATTAGCGCTAAAAGCAATACGAACACCTAACAGGGCTGCTACTGCAAGGGCTGAATGATTCTCATCAGAAAGAAACGCCAACTAGTTCAAAATGTAAAAAAATAATTCATCTCACTGCAGATTTCTGTTTTTTTCCCCGTTTCTCGTCATGGTGCTCATGTTACAGAATCAGATATTTAGCATCAGAGCATCTCGGGAGTTACGTACCTGATGACCTCAGTAAAATATGTATTACTACTTTATTGATTATTTAGCTGATTTCTAAAGTGTGTCAAAGTCCAGGGTTGGTTTTTGTTTCGCTTTTTGTTTTCGTCAGTGACTACAGGTACATCTCGGTAAATTAGAATATCATTAAAAGTGGATTTTGTTTTAATAATTCGATTCAGGAAGTGAAACAGTGATTAAAACTAAAGCTGTAGCTTCTTATGGGAAGCCTCCCGAGTCCATTCACCAAGCAGTTGGTTGGGGCTCCTTTGGCTTGAATAACTGCATCAGTGCGGCGTGCCATGGTTGGAGATCAGCTCGTGGTTCTGCTGAGGCGTTTGGGAAGTCCAAGTTTAACAGCAGCTTTCAGCTTGTCTATGTTGTGCACTGCAGTTTTTCCTTCCAACTTACTTTCCATTAACACTCTTGGATACAGCATTCAGTTTCTTTAAGACTTTTTTCTTTTGCGAAAATCCTTTTTTTTTCTTGTACTTTTTGTTAAACTGTGGAATAAGTGGTTAGAATCTGTTTACATTTTTTGAATTGAATGTTTTTTGATGATCTTCTAATTCGAGGTGCACCTGTAGGAACCCGGTTCTGTTCGCGGTACTGAGCCTGTCTCACAGAAAACGTTTTGTTTACGTCGTCGCCCATCGACACTGCAGACATTAGAAACCTGGAGCCAGATGTTCTGATCCGCTCTGGTCCAGGCTGACGCGCTCGCTAAGTGTCAAGTAATCAACGGCAGCAATAAGCTTCTGTGCCTCCTTTTCCTTCCTGCTTCTCGATGTGAACTGGTTCTGTAGCTCAGTAGAAAAGCTGTGGAGTAAACGTAACTATAAGCTGTGTTTTTATATTTTCTGGAAAGAGTGAAGGTATTTTGTTTTCGGTTCAGTTGCAGCAGAACGAGGCAAGACAGAGATGCAATATAACCCTGTGAGCACTTGAATGTCAGCAGGAATGATTTTGTCGTTTCTTTGTGAGCTAAGTTTCTGTTTCAGAAAAATAAATAAAAACTACGGCAGAGAATTGGGGCCAAGCAGAAATATATGGTGTTAATTTCTAACCAAAAAATCTCAAGAAAAAATGTATAGAAAAAATTACATTTGCAAAAAGAAATCCTTTTTTTATGTAAAGTATAAATTTGCAATATTACATTTAAAAAATGGTGAAATATTCTCTCAAATTTTAAACATTGCATAAAAAATTATGTATATGAAAATAGATTTTCTGAGATTATAAAGTCAGATATTTCTCAAAAAAAGGTAGGGAATTTTCTGAGACCGAAGCAAAACGTTGAGTTTTACGTCTGAATCTGTTGTAAAGTGTGAATGTCAGATCCGGTCTCTGACATCAGAACGGGTTCTCCCGGGTCCGGACTCGCCTGAACGCATCGATCATGATCCAGAAATCACGGCTGAGACGGTGAAGAAGATTCAAGATGGCCGCTGCGAGTCTGGACCCTGGAGCCGATCTGAGCTTTTGGCTTTTTTTGTCACAAATGTCTGACTTTATAATGTCACAGATTGTTTATTATTCTAAGATTAGAGAACATGTTGATGTTTTAGAAGTGGAAATGTACTCCTGTGTTTCCACATCTACAGTGGCCCTGATGCTCTGTGGTAAAAATCTGCATCAAAGAAACAAAATCAACCAAACAAAAAAAGACCAAACAGATTTTATTCCGGTTTCATTCCTTCAGGCTGGCATGAAAAAAATTTGCTCCAAATTTTTGATCAGCCTTGCAGCTTCCTGTCTCTGTGCCATCACACTTTTCAGGTTTTCCTCCTTCATGCTCTGTTTTTCTTTGCAAGCATTGCAAACGCCGCTTCCTGCTGCAGGCTGGCTTCTCTACGTTTGGGGTCAGAAACCTTCAGTTTGGGAGACTTTCTTTGCTCGTTTTAGTCGAGGCTCATCTTCAAAGAGCAGAGCTGAAGCCAGTCGGTTTATTTTTGCATTAATGATTCAACATGCAGGTTTCCTCCACATCATTAAAGCTTTTTCCAAATTTAGATTAGTTTGGAAAATCAAACATAACGTTGGAGAAACGGGTTAATGCGAGGTTAAACTCCTACCTGCTAATTTCATTTTTTGAGTTTATTTTCAAGACATTCATCTTTAAGGTGCCAGGTATGCACTGAAAACACTAAATATTACCAAGCACTTTTGGTCTAGTTTATAGTGCAAATGTCTTATTAAACTTCAAATGAGACAAAACTAACTTTTCAGCAAGATATAAGAGCTGGATTTGAGTCAACAATTGATGAATGTTGATGAAGTTCTGGTTCCACATGCAGATTATTTCACTCAAGACATTTTTCCAGTGTTTTAAGTGAAATAATCTGCTGATGACATCATAACACGTTTTAAATATAAGTGTTAAAGAATTAGTTACTTAAAACCAGCTCCTATTTATTGCTGAAAAGTTACTTAAGTTAGTTTTGTCTTATTTCTAGTGAACTAGAACCTGGACCAAAAATACTTGGCAACATTTAGTTTGAAAAGTTTTTTACATCTGGAGGTAAAGAGAAAAGCAAACGGTTATTCAAAGAGAACAAACTTTGTAGCTCAACATCGATACTTTATTCAGGTGTGACTCTAGATTTAAATTTCTAATATTTCTCGACTTTTTCAGTTCGACATCATGATTTATGATGTCATAAAATGCATTTATATTTTTGTGTTGCATTTGAAATTTCATTATTCTGTTGACCAGAAGTGATCAGAAAACTCTCCAGCTCCCTGACAAAAAGCCTCAGCTCATCGTTTCTCTTGTAGATTCGGATAAAAACGACGATTTGATGAAACTTTCGACCCTTTCTTGGTTGTTTTCTGTTTGTGGCACTTTGCTGTCTGGCTGCGAACGCTTCCTTTCAGTTTCTGGGCTGCATGTCTGTGTGCCGCCGCCGCCGCTCAGTGACTTCCTCCTCCATCTCCGTCGTCCATTTTTTTTTGTTTATTTTTTAGCTGAAGGTAAGTTCACGTTCCCGCTCACATCCTGAACGGCTTCAGTTCACTTCAGTTTGTTTTTCGCTCTTTTCGTTCTTCATTCAGTGAGACAGCCATACTCAGAAACATCTTGTTCATGTGTTTTTGGTGGATGGAGCCAAAAATTTAAACGTAAAAAAGGGACAGAGAGCCATGAGCTGCACTTTACAGCAGAACCAGATTATTGTCCCAGTTAGATCTCTGAATATAATGTTACATGTTTACATTTCTGTATTTTTGTTGATCTCAGTATGTGTAATCTTTTTTTTCCCCCACCCTGCAGAGGAGTTAGAAACGTTTTTGGTTTTTACCCGACGTGAGCGGCTCCCCATCACTAACATGTCTTATTCCTTGTTTTCTGCCCTGTAACATTCTGTGAGTGTGAATGTATTTCTTTATAGAATGTTCCTGACGAATAAAAAAGAGCATTTCAAATCAAATTTCACTTTTGGTTGTTTCTTTAAGTCTCTCCACCAAGAACAAGATGTTCCTGATGTGGCTGTCTCAGTTTGAGCTCCGAGACCCAACACAAACTGGTTCTGGTTCTGGCCTGATGAATGGCAAATGTAGCTTATTTCCGAAGTTTGGTAAATTAAAATGATGGTTTCCTCATTACAACTTGACCTTTTTTATCCCAAGAGTTGAGTTCTTCGTAGGGCTGGTTGATAATTTGATTTTATTGAGTATTCACATTTTTTTTGGTTTTTGAAGATTTAATTTTTGGAAAATTAGGATTTTTTTTTCACCTGTACCGTTTGTGTTTCCATAGATCAGCACAGGCGGCCATCTTGTTTGACAAGCATATTTTACAGCTTCTGCTTATTTAAAAAGGAATTTTTCTTTGCATCTTTATTGCACTTCTAATGAAAATAGGAAGCTAAACTGATTTTTATAAAAAATAAAAAAATCAGCAGAAGGTGCCGATTTAAAAAAAAAAAAAAATCAAATTGTCAACTAAATTGATCTTTACAGCCTTAATGGGAAAACGAAATAAAAATCGTAAAATATCTAACATTGGACTAAAAATAAATGGAAATTTTTTAGCAAATTGAGTCATTAAAAGTATGAAATAAAATGTTTAGATCATATTTTTGAATGATAAGCACAGGAAGTGTGTTTTTGAACAGCTTTTGGAGAAGGTAGGTCGGCAAAGTGGGTCCTCGAGATGAAATGACGTCAGATAATTTTGTTAAAACCACATTAGCAGACAAGTTTGGTGTTCCTGGAAGTTGGATATTTTCGATAAATTACAGGAAATGACTCATTAAAAGGCTGAAATTTTGTGTAAACCTAATATAATGTCTTTAAAATAAAACCCAAACTTTAAGAAATGCAACAGTTTTCATGAAAGACTCTTAACAGCGCTTAGGCTGGGATCTAATCCAACCTAAGGGTCAAGATTATAACCAGTTATTTGTAGTTTCTGAAATTTCTTTTAAAACTTAATCAGGAAAAAATATTTTATTTATAAACGATACAGAAAGGCTTGCAAATGATAAATCTTAGATTCCAGTCTGTTTCCATACTTTTTTTTTTCTGACTGAATAAAAACCTCGCTAATCAGTAAATAACTGTTCATAAAAGGGAAACAATCAAATTAAAACCATTTACAGTTGTAAAAACCTCCGGTGGGTAATTAAGTTTGACGCAACAAGTTTTAACCAGGAATAATTTAACGGGACATATTTTTATAGGTTACAGTGTCTGTTGCGCCAAAGAGAACAATCCCATTTCCGCCATGTGTTGGTTTCTTGTGAAGAATCTACGTGGCTCGTAATCCCGCATCTTATTCCCAGTCCAGATGAAGACAATCTGACGTCCCTGAGCGATTAAAGATGTTTTCGGAGGTGAACCTGATTAAAGTTATAATCTGTGGCCGGTGCAGTGAGCTGAACAGATGCACGGCTCTAACTAATGTCCCGGACCCGGTGGATGGCGGCGCCGCCTCGCTTCCTGCTTTTGGCGGATCCGCGGCCTCGTTCTGCCAGTTTGGAAAAGGTTTGAGTTTGTTCGTGTTCGCAGCAGGGGGTTCCTCTGATTTAGAGCTTCGTCTAATCAGGAACAATAATTTGGCTTCTTCATTGTGGCACCATTTACTTTCAGCACAATTGGAGGCTCTCCACTCGCTAATTAGGCTAATTTTTTTAGTTGCCATTATGCAAATGTTTTGGACATAAAAACAGTTTTTTTTTTTTTTTTGTTCCGTCGGATGCAGAATTTTCTTTTCTTTTTTTTGCTTCAGGTTTTCTGACTTAAAGCTTCAATCTTTTCTGGGAGATTTGATCTGAGAAGTAATTTTGTGGATCTTGGAAGAGGCTCAGCATCTTATTCCTCCGGCTCCTTAAGCCCGTTCATCTCACTGCGCGGTCCGAAGTCACAGCAGCTTTTCCACCATATTGCTGCTCTGCTGCTTCAATGAGAGACAAACTGTCGGCATTTGTCGGATAATCATTTCAAAGTCATTTCAGTAACACTGCGTGTTAAGGAGGTCGAGTGGGTTTTGTAGGAAAATGAAAAGATTTCTGAGGTTGGAGTATTTCAAGAGTTAGTTTTGATGAAAATGACTTGAAAATGTAAGTATGTTTGAATGTAAAAATGAACATAGAGTTCCATATGCAAACTATTGGAAAGTTTAGTGGAAGGAAAAAGTGTGGTAGGAAAATGGTGCATGTAGATGCATCACCTGGACAATGGAGAAAAAGAACCAGGACTCCAAAGTCCTGATCCCGGGTGAAAGTAAAGTTTGCATTTGAAAATCAATTCAATCGGTGATGATTTGGGTGCCAGATCATCTGCTGGTACTGATCAACTGAGTTTTCTTAAGTTCTCGGTCAACGCAGCTAGTGCACTTCACTTTCACACTGCACTCTGTCAGACAATCCAAACCCTTTCATAAAACTGTTCCCCTCCTCACCTGTGGTGGCGCTGCATCAAGAACAATTTAAGGAAAAGACACAAAAACCTTTGAAGAAGATACTGAGTGAAAGAAAACCACCCAAGCTGAAAATTTTAACAAATGTTGCGATCTTGGTCTCCCATCAAATTTAATCTAAACACACTAAATATTTTTGCTAGATGGTTTGTTGCCTTCAGAAATCCCAGTTGACCACCCCAAGTGAACCGGACTTTCAAAGCAAACCAACTCTAGTCAATTAAAGTGAACTAAACTTGACTGGTGTGAATGAACCCTAAGAGTCCTTCATTTTTGTTTGTCCTGAAAGCTTTAATGAGATGCTGGTCTCATTTCCAGCAGGACTTGGTACTGACCCACACTGCCAAAGGTACCAATACCTGTATCAATCCAACACCTTAAATGTCAAGAAAATGAGACGTTCTAGACAAGCTTAAGCAACTTCATCATTTTGATCACTAAAAAAAAGTACTTTTCAATTACTTTCACATTTATTAAGATTTTTAAATCTCTGCAGGGTTTGAGATGAAGATGAAACATTTTTACGTGTAATTTTCTGATTTCTGCGCAGGAACTGGTGTGATGCAGAGTGAGCCGCCTGTTGACGAGCTTCCTGCCAACGTCCAGGCCCCCGTCGAGAATCCTCAGCCGGTCAAGGAGCCAAAATCGGGAAAGAAGAGCAGCTGCAAACTCGCCGATGAGTCCGACAGCGACTTCGAGTCCGACCCCCCTTCTCCAAAAAGCAGTGAAGATGAAGAGCAGGAGGAAGAGGAGGCCTTGAACAGCGAGCACGGTGACGACACCGAGCCGGAGAATCTGGGTCAGAGGCCTCTACTGATGGACTCCGAGGAAGAGGAAGATGAGGATAAACATAGCTCAGATTCGGACTGTGATGTCAGCAAGGTCAAAGGCCGCTCAAAGAAACCAGCCGCCGCTAAAGTAGCCAATCCCACCGCTTCCAGGAGTCCTGGAGGGCGGTCTAAGCAGAGTCTCATCACCCCTACAGTGTCTTCCGGCGGAGCGGAAGGTGTGGACGTGTTCGGCGCCGTTCCGTTCGTTGGCGGAGCTTCGCCCGTCGGGCCCACAGAGGGCAACGATATCTTCACCAAAGCGCCTTTCCGGCAGGTCAGCCAGGAGGAGCCGGCTGCTGATGAGTTTGATGTTTTCACCAAAGCCCCGTTCAGCCGGAACGTGTCGAAGTCCGGAAGGAGCGTCAGCCAGACGCCGCCCCTTTCCCCGGAAGGCACCGACATCTTCGGCTTCTCTCCGTTCCAGCCGAGCCATACCGAGCCTCCGCCTACCTCCCGGAGCGCCGAAGACATCTTCCAGTCGCCGTTCGAGGAGCCGTTGAGTCTCCAGCAGAGGCAGAAGCAGCGCAGCCTCCAGAAGTTGTCTTCCCGACAGAGAAAAACCAAGCAGGAGACGACGGCGGGGGGCAGCAACGGCAAGCGGCACCACGGTACCCCAACCGGAGGACGCAAAACCAACAAGCCGAGCTACCGCACTCCAGAGAAAGTCCGCAGGCACAAGAAGGTGGGCCGCCGAGATTCCCAGAGCAGCAATGAGTTCCTGAGCACCTCTGACTCCAAGGAGAACATCAGCGTGGACATCAGCATGGCCGAAGGGAAGGACACCATGGCGCCTCTTCCGGTGGACGACGTTCTTCTAGACCCGTTCGGGGCCAAACCCTTCCACCCTCAGTACCCGGGCCTTGGCGACGGTAAACCCGACATGAGCACCGCCAACGGGGGAAGGATCATAGACGATTTCGGGGCGGTTCCCTTCACGGAACTGGTGATCCACAGCGGGCCGCAGCAGCCGGTGGTGGCGCCTTCACAGCCGCTGGACCTGGACCCTTTTGGAGCGGCGCCGTTCCCCTCCAAGCAGTAACTCAACATGTCTTCCGCCAGTAGCCATTAACCCACAGCTGTTTATTTTTTTTTGGTTTGGGATCATTTCTAATCAGCCTGAATCCTGTGGAGTGTTTCTCTTTGCGCCTGCCTTCTATGCTGCATCGCAACGCTTTTAGGAACTGAGAGTTTGTACTGTGATTTAAAGTCAATACTTGACTTTCTCGTCTGCCTTGTGATAAGTTTTAGCACCAGAAGCCTTACCTGAGCTGGGCCCGACCCGCGCACAGTACCTCGGTAAAAAACCCGCATCGTTTGACATAATTTGGGAGCAGCGTTTAACCACTCTGTCCTTTTTAGGTTTTTAATCTATGCATACTTTCCCTGCAGCCAGTGTGGGAGTGGGTGCATTTCACTAGAAGGGAACTTTTTTATTTTATTGTACTTTACTAAAGAAAAAAAAATTACCTTTTTTTCGTTTTTAGGCTCTTAACTGTTCTCTGTAGCAGAAAAACCTCTGCTCAATTATTGGTTATTTTCTTTCTTTTTTTAATTTTTATTATGAACTCAAAATAAAAACACAAAGATGCAGCCAGTCACTTGTGGAGGATTTGGTACCTGTGGAGCATTTCTGACATCTGACAAGGTTGTTGGATTTTATTGAACAGTTTATTAGACAAACGTGAAGCGTATTGTATTAAACAGCCTTAAAAACAAACGTAGCTACACAGCTTCTCTTTTAATAACCAAAGTGGGAAAAAAGAAGTCTTATTTACAAGTTGCAGATATAAAAGACAAATGTACAAACAGTACAGTTTAAGTCCATTAATAATTTAAAAACAGTATCAAATGTCATTCCAAAATGAGTCTGCTGCCATTTAACTTAATCGCTATTAAATCACTAAGACTTTTAAAATTGTAAGGGAAAATATTTGCTAAAAAAGCTGCATGAATAAGGAGTGTAGTGACTTATTCTCCTTTTTAGCGCTTCAAGTAATTAACCTCTTCCTCCAAATTTGAGTGAGATTCCCATTTCTTTAAAGCTCAGGGTAAATTGTAGAAAATGCAGTGCAGATAAATGTCTGAAGACGTAAATATAGACACCAAACATCTTGTCCCGCCTCCATCGCCAAAGGTTTTCGTTATAATCACTAAACCGATAATGTTTCTGTTTATGTGAAACTATAATGGTGCAAACGTAAATACTGCAAACTTGTGTTACAAAACTGAAGTCCCCCGGACCACTAGGGGGAGACGAACAAATGGTCTTGGACCAAATGCAGAGTAAAGTCGGGATGTGCAGAAAAGAAAAGGTGTGCTACACTTTTTGAAAAATGCAGTCTTTTGCAATATTATTGAACATCAGGGTTTATGTAGGTAAAAATCACCTACTCCATACTCCACCTAGTGGTCTGGAGCACTTTTGTTTTTATGGAGAAAGTTTACAGCTTTTTTTAATGAGTTTTCCCATTTTGTTTCCATTTCCTGTAGTTGGAACAGTTTTCGTTTGCATTTATTTAGTGGATTTAAAGGTTTTTGCTTCTATTGTATGTGTAACAGCCAATGTCTTGTGCGTTTGCACTCTTCTGCCATTGCAGAAAACCCTAAAAACAGCCGTTTGTAAGCCTCTGAAGATCTGATGGTTTATTTTAAGGCTAAGAACTGATTTATAATTAGACTAATATAGTGTTTTTATATTTTTGCTGAGGTCAAATTTGAAGTCTAAATATAATCAAATGTTTTTAAGAGATAAAACATTCATGTAATGTACATAAAAGCTGGTTTAACATGTAGGTGCTGGATTTTGGAATGAAGTCATTTAAAATACTAAAACAGTAAAACATTGCACATCACCCTAAGGGAGCTAGAATATCATATTTTACAGTATTACATCTGAAAACACTGATTTTTTTTCTCTCTTGTCCGCTCCTAAAGCATCCTCACATATGAACCAAATACAGAATTGTAGCAATGAATATAAAAGGACAGAGAATGTAGTTTTAATACTGCCACTTAAATCACTGTTGTGTCTCACTAGTGACCTCTAGAGGCAGAGCTGCTCGTTACGCCCTGCTAAAATGAGTTTAAGAACATTGACTGATTCCCAAATAAAACATAAAAATCTGATTAACAACAGTTCTGAAAGAAGCTGCTGAACAACAAGTCTTTGGGGTTTTAATTGCTTTAACATGCTCACTTTTTGCTTCTTGATATTGTTAAAAACATCAAAAAATCTGCAGTTTTAAGTTTCCCCATCCAGAAACATTTGATGCTACATCATTTACAGGCACTTGGAGAACCAGGAGCTTCCTGTTAATTTGTTCCTGTTGGTGGTGATGCGTTCATGTCACCTCGCTTCCTGTGCTGCAGCGCCGCTGATCATCCTGCTCCAAATCACAGGTAAAAGCCATCGGGTCAAAGGTCATTCCTAGCGGTCGAAAAAAACGAGGGAACTTAAATCAGATCTTGGAAGCTGCAACATTTATTTTTGTGTCTTCTGAACAGATTTAAGGATTAAAATATAAAATATATATCAAGATCTGCTAAGAACTGATAAAAAATTAATTTCAAGCCAGAAAATTTAGCTAGAACTCTGAAATAACGGTGTTTATTTTATTTAAAGAACAACAAACTAAAATCAAAATAATCTTAAAATCGGCTTAGAGGGATATTTTAGATTATCTTAAATCAAAACTAATTTGACTTGTAACTTTATTAGAGGGATGAACATTGTTTCTATAATTTAGATTAATCTAAATATTTAAAGCACAAAAGCAAGAAACAAACGGGCTGTAAGAAATATGGAGGTTTCTAGAGAAGAGGATCCGACGACCAACTTGTTTCAGGAAATTGTGATGAATAAAAAAAATAAAGAATAAATTATGGATAAATATATAATTTACTTTCCTCTTTCAAGTGTTTGGCTCCATTAAAACATTTCCTACGCCAACATCCACATCTCTCCTTTGCTGGACAATTTTTAATAAAGTATAAATAAAACTGTTCAAAGTAGATTTGAGTCAGATTTCTTCTGCAGGCGTCAGGATTTAAATATGGAGAATAAAAAACATGTTGGAAAGTCAGGAGAAAAAATAATGTTTTAAGCATAAAGTCTAGTCTAAAAATTAGATGTATTACAAAAATATAATCAAATAAATAAAGCTAAAAACAAATATACAGGAAAAATTTATGAAGGTGTAACTGGATGGATAATAGACGGGTGAATAATGATAATTATTTTATAAAATGGAGAAAGTTTGACTAAATTCAAACTTATTTTCTCCTTTAACATCAGAACTTTTTTCTCACATTAAAACTTTAATTCTGACCAAATTTTGCTCCATTTAAACTTTTAGAAAACATTCCTTCCAGGACTTCATGTCGTCTTACGTTCAGGAACTCGGCGTGTCGCGCTGTGAACTAAGTGTGCTGAGGAGCGGCGGGACACGGCTGACTGTGTCTGTACGCCATGATGAAACCCGACGACTGGTGCCACCAGTAGAACATCAGAACCAGCAGCAGGTGCCACACCTGGTGGCTGGAGCCCAGGTAGTTCAGCTGACCTGAGGGGGAATAAAACAGTGATTTAAGTGCATATTAATACAGGATCCGCTTTTTTCTTCCGTTTCCTCGCAATACAAATTTAAAATTGCACACATCAACACGTTTAATAGACAAAAAGCTTCTACATTATTAAGTCTTTGGTGCAGAAACTGGTTTAAAATCGATTTGTGATCTGTTAGAGGTGGGACTGCACAGGAAAATGGCTCTTCATTCAGACAGCGAACATAAAAAAATCAAAACTCAGATGGCTAATATCTCATTAAACATTAAAGTAACTCAAAAAAGTCCAAATAGTTTGGATGCATTTCTTTCTTTCCTTCTTTTGGAAAGTTTCTGTTTATGCTTAAGGAATGGAAGAAAAGATGAAAAGTCCATGTTTAATCTGTTTTGTTTTTTCATTTTAAATACAAGTTTGTGGTTCATTTGTATCCTAAAGAAAATGATATAAAAAACCTCCAGATATCTCTTTAGTGTGACTAACATACATGGAACAAAAGGTACAAAAACATTATACTGTAACTAGTCAGTGATAGCAGCATCTTGAATACTTAAACTATCGTGTGACATAATTAGGGTTGCACCGACTGCAGATTTCTGGCCAATCACCGATTACTGATCTGTAAAAAGCCTGACCAGCTGATTCCGGTTTTTCTGCCTGAAATGTTGCTAAATTGCACCGATAAATCGGTGCATCCCTACAGGTGATGTGAAACCACCGAGTGGACTCACCTGGGAAATATCGCTCTGGAACCCTAGAAACATAGAAAATAAGCGCCAACGCCGCGATGAAGTACATCCCAAGAATCCGTGGAACAAAAGCCTGAAGAGGAGAAACAAAAACAAAAGTCAACAATGACCACGTCTGAGCAGAGAGTCGGTGAAAACCAGAAGAGTTTGTTGGACCTGGACGAGCTGAGAGGAGAATCCCCCGGTGATCCAGATCCAGTGGAGCGTCGGGATGAGGCCGTATCCGGCCACGGAGCAGAAGATGAGCGAGCGCAGCTGCTTCCACTGCTTACTGAGGTAGAGAGGATGGATCTGGGCGAAGAAGACGGCCAGGATCATGGCCAGAACCGTCACCAGGTAAACCTGCCGCCAGTACTGGAACCAACACCACAGAGACCCGTCAGAGCCAAAAAAATAAAAACCAGACAACTACTGAGAGGAATTCATTTCCTTTGAATGTTTCCAACTGTAGACCTGAATGTTGGTGTTTATCCAAGGAGGTGATTCGGATTTTTGATTCAGGGGTTTTGGGGCAGACAAGCAACCACCAGTGCCAGGAAAGTACGGGATGCAGTTACAGTCAAAAATGAACATAAATAATTTGGGTTATTTAGACTGTCAGAATGAAAAAATGGGGGGTAAATTGTCTCTCTTTAAACTAAATATTTTGTATTTTAAGCTAAATATTTAGCTTCACACTAAATATTTAGCTAAATAACTAGCGTAGCAGTAAACTAAATACTTCATTACCTAGCTAAATATTTAGCTCCAAGCTAATTAATTCATTAATAAGCTAAATGTTTAGCTTCAGACTAGATATTTAGCTCTGCGTTAAATAATTAGTCAGCAAGCTAATTATTTAGTTAGCAAACATAATAGTTATTACTATTATATAACCAACTATTCCACTTGAGGAGAATTGGGTAAAACATATTTGCAGACAAGAGTGTTTTCATCTTAAATGCAAAATGTATATATATTTTGCACAGTTTTGGATTAATTAATTACAGCCTGTAATTAATCTGTAATTAATGCTGTTCTTTCAGCAAATGCCCTTTATAGGCTGGATACTCCAGTTAACGATTAATCGATTACTCAATTAGTTGACGATTAATCAATACCTGATTAATCACGATTAATCAGGTATTGATTAATCGTGATTAATATTAAAATGTTTTAGAAACTGCTGAAGACTCCATGATCATCCCAGAGGATTCCTCTATTCTCAGCAGAATAAAGTGTTTTATACATTTATTAATGACTCAGATCTTTATGAGTAAAACAAGCAGATAAAGAGAATCGGAGAATGAAAACTAAGCGTCGTTTGTCTTTCATCTTGGCTCAGTTTCTTCCTTGCATGTGTTAAGAAATCTCTCCCACTGTTTGAGCCGTTATCACAGATCTGCGGCGAACCTGTCCCCGGATCTGCGCTTGGTATTTAAACTTCTATAAGTAGCTGCTGAAAAGTCTGGACAGCCTCGTCTCCGTCCCTTCTGTCCGCCTGTGTGGATGCAGGCCTCCGTCCAGTCACACGTCCTCGTGCGACGAGTCCTGCTGAATTTCACAGTGAATAAATTTGCACCCGGAACAAGGCCCCCGGCTCGGCTGCAGCCAAATTCTTTTCTTTTTTTTTTCTCCTCCTCCTCCTCATCATCACAGATCTCCAAATCTGTGTCCCTCAAAAGACTCGGACGAGACAAGAGTTTGACTGGCTAAATATAAAAATCTGTTTTTCTTCAGGGACTTGGCTTGCCACTGGAGTGGAGCCACCCAGAAGCGAAGCCTCCATCTTGGCGTGGACGGAGGAGGAGGCGGTGGCGGGACGAGGGGCTCCTTTTTTGCCGCCGAGGCTCCTGGACTTGCAAGCGTCATATGGTGAGGAACAGGAGTGACGGACCGCTCCGTGAACGCCGCCATCTGGTTTGGTCTGGAGCAGATTTCAGCCCAGTTCTGGGGGCAAAATAACCCGGCGCTTCCAATATGCGGGGGAAAGCAAGCGTCCCGGAGCGGAGCCAAACGTTTCAGGGATAAAAAAAACATAAAAAATAAAATAAAACGGCGGCGGTGGTGATGATGATGGTGGGCGGCTGGAATGAGGAGCTTGTGTCATCAGAGGCTGTTTTCCAACCGGATGAGAGCGGCGAAGGTGTTGTGTTGCTTATTCACTGGGAACAATGAGTCAAAGAGCGGAGCCAGGCTGAGGCGCTCGCTTTATTCAATTACTGCTCCTCAGGCCGCCGCCGTGATGCAACAATCCACAGTAAAGAATTAATCAAATGCTCCTTTTATAGTCTGATTGTTTCAGTTTAAGCTTAAAACAGGCCAGGAGAAGGTAGTTTCACCAAACAGCTGCTTTAAATCCATTTAATGCAGAAATAAAATTAGATCTTCTTCCACATCAGATTTAACTTTAATAATTTCTTTTCTATTAAAAAAGTACAAATGACAAAAAATAATTTCACAACGTGGCTTTTATTTCAATCCTTCTATCTGTGGGTATTAGTGCCAGGCTATGAGAATTTTAGTTTGATTAGAGGAATAAAGTTGTAATTTTAGCAGAAAAGTGTATCCTTGTAACTGTGATTCTTGTGATGTGATTCGCTTCACTGATGCAGATTTCTTTCTTACTTCCAAATGATATTTTCAGCCATTATTTATGTTCAGATTTGCTGCATCTGCCTCTTTTGGCGCAGAATTAAGATGCATGTATCACATCAGCAACGGAAAAGTTGAATTAAAAGCAACAGTTCAAACTGTAAACGCTTTAATAATCTGATATATGTCCGATATGTGTGGCATAAATCTGTTTTTATTTATTTATTTTATTTCCTTTATTTAACCAGGTAAACCCAGTTGAGATCCAGATCTCGTTTTCAAGAGGGACCTGGTTAGAGGTCCCTCTTGAAAATGAATTCTGATTATTTTGGGGTGAAAAGAACAGAATTGAACCCGATCTTAAAATTACTGAATACATTCTTTAATCATTTGTGAAGCCTTTACTTCTATTAATCAGAGAAATATTGCAAAAACATCATCTGGTCTTGTGTTTTCTATAAACACTGAAGCTGCACCGATCCGAATTTCCCCCCGCTTTGGATCCCGATATCTGAGGTTTAGCATCGGCCGACACCGATCTGATCCAGAAAATGGCGCTGAATTGATTTAAAACGTTTTTGTTTTTAAGCACAAACATAAATGCCCAGAATTACAAATTTATTTGATAACTCTGCACCAGCACAGCTCACTTAAATAAATAGCTTCACTAGCTTTGTCAAACATGTAAAAACAACTTTTATTCACGTATGCTTCATATGTAAACAAATGTGGAAAATGCCAATGAAAAACTAAATGACAAAAAAATTCAACTGTCATACCACAGAGCCAAACACCACAAATCAATCAGGAATGAACTTACGTTGTTACAGTAGAAAGTGTAAAACACTCCTGGAACGTAGCATCCCAGAATGCCGATGGAAACGCCGGCGTAGTCCAGCGCCATCCAGCGGCGGCTGGTCTTCTCCGAGCGGTGGCAGCAGAACAGGTGGTAACCCACGGAGCAGAGCATGCACAGCTGAGGGTTGAACGCAGCGACACGCTCCATCAGGAATTAAAGACACATTTCATTATCCAGACCAGATTCAGGCAGATTTCAGGACTGGGATTCAGTTTAATTTGCTAAGAACATCCAGCAGAACTTTGCACTGATGCCGGTCCGTAATCGCTCAGATTAAGGCGACAGCATTGCAGTGAATGATATTTGGCTCATCCTGAATCATCATATTGTGAAAACTGAGCAGGAAAATATCAAGAGGAGGTCTAATATTTTCTACCTGTTTTTGAAAATGCAACCAGAAACGATTCAGCAGACATGAAGAGGAAAATCAAAGCTGCTTCTGTCAGTTCTGTGCATGTTAAACTCAGAATATGTGACAGATTTCATTCATTTCAGATGATCAGTTGATTGGAGAATCACTATTAATAATCCTGATCAAAATCATCCATTTGTTTTCCTTTGATTTGGCTCCACTGGTTCATCAACAAATCAAAAATGGCTGACATTTTCATTTTTATGATTTACTCTTTTTGTTTTCACTTTTTTAGGCTTAGTAATGCATTTAGATTCCTTCTACTGATGTAGATCGACCGGTTAATTGACAGTTTTGACGTCACACAACTGAATCATTAGCTGTGCTACCATTACAAATGTGCGCAAAACGTTGTTGAAATACAAACTCACACTTGTGTTTTCATTAAATAAGGAACAAACATGAATAAGTTTGTTCAATTCATTAAAAACCATCACCCTCCTACCACTTCCTATTGTCTTCTTTGTCATTTCTGCCAGTAGTAACATTTGTTTGTTGATCATGTGACTCGTGACAAAAGTGTTTCAGTTTTGCAAAATATACAATTTATTTTAAACATCTCCTCATGCAAGCACAAAAACTTTCTAAATTGATACGTTTCAATTAAGCCAAGTTATTTTTAAAATTCAAATTTGTGCAATTTTACAGTGAATGGAAACGTAGCCATTGGTGAAGGAGGTGAAATATTTCACTTTAACGATCCAGAAGTTCCTTTAACAGAAGGATCTGATCGGCATCCCACCTGGAAGCAGAACAGCCCGATGGAGTAGATGACGTAATCCTCCCTGGAGGCATGGATGGAGGGCAGCACCGACGCCATGTTGTACACGCCGACGCAGAAGAAGAGCAGGAAGCCCAACAGATGGCTCCAGATATTCACCGTCTCATTGGATAGGATGAAGAGGCTGCACACAAACCATTGCTCCATTGTTGTTTTCCAAGTTTAAAGCACCATTAAGTATTTTATCCTGGTTTACGCCAAACTTTGAGCAACGCCTCACCTCTTGATGCACAGCCTGGATGGCAGGTAGGCTCTGTATCCGTCTGTGATGTACGGATTTTCTCTCAGGAAAACCGGGATCTGTTCGTACGTGTACAGCCTGATGCCTCTGGGCACCAGCACAGGCCAGTACTGGTAACCTCCCAGCTCGATGTAATGTGCAGTTTGGGCATTTTTCTGGGGCTTCTGGGACATTGCAGAGCCAGGCGAGTCAGTTTTAAACTGGCTTGAAGCTGAAAGTTAAAAAAAAAAGAAAAAAAGAAAGCCAAAATATTGACATTAAAGTTAAAACAAATGTCAATTTTAAGCAAAATGACTCATTGAACTGCCAAGATAGGACAATATGCTGCTGATGCCATTATTTACATGATCTGTTTGTCCAGCTGAGCACTCATTGAGACCACAATGGTCCATAGTATCTTTCATAAAGGAATTATTGATTTCCATCAGATTGGCACAATATTACCAGACTTTTTGGAATGCAACATTCAGTCAGGATGCTTGCCAGATAGTGAAAAACAACCCTAAAAAAACTCAGCTGCGTGGATCTATTTTTACACTTATCCGATATCTGAGGTTCAGTATCGATCAATAACAATATAGAAAAACAGCTCTGAACTGACTTATTTGACACTCTGCACCAGTAAAGTACACTTAAATAGCTTCACAAAATTGGTCAAACATGTAAAAATAAAATGCAACAAACCTTTTAAATTGTTTAGAAGGTGTGATTAAGAGTTCTAGATATAATGTAAAATCGATAATAAAACAATGATCTATGAGTGGTCAAATAGTTATTAGCTGAATTAATAAGAAACCAGGTCTTTCTAATGAGGGCGAGTTGTTTTTCAGCGCAGTGTCTGCATAGTTTCGAATGAAATTAAGTAATATCTAGTCATTTAGGCTTCAAATGCATGACAGTTTCAAATGTGGAAAATATAGATGCTTTACATGCTTCAAGCAAACGTACTTTAATTTTGCAGCACTATTGTGATCAAAACTCTGCCCACATTTCTGATTTTTTAGATATTCCTATCAAAGATCGCTATTGGTCCCACAGACACATTTTAAGACCAGAGAGGATAAATCCTTAAGAGCTGCTTTGCCTCGTTCTTTGTGCTGTGTTGACTCTATTGATTCTTCTAAAGAAGGAGCTGAAGACTCGTTTATTCTGACCTTTAACTAGTTTTATGCTGTATGATATTACATGTACTGTGTTTTTATTTTAGGTTTCATCTTACAAAAATGAGTTTACGTAGTAATTGCACATATTTAGTCAACAGACACGTTGGATGTGTACTAGCTAAAATCTACTGGAAAATATTTTGGATTTAGCTGATACAAGGTGTGTGTTTTATGGCGTTTTTAAAGACCCAGCTGTAATTGTATGATTTAGCTTTAATCACATTTTCTTTACCCATACTTTTATGGGCAAAGAAAATAAGTTTATAAATGTTATATATCCTACTGCTCGTCTGAATACGAGGGATTACGTAAAAGCCAACCTCTGTGCTTCTTAACGATTACAAAGTTTCAGCACAATTTTATAAGCCGAATGTTTGTTAAGCATCAAATAAGCTAAGAGTAAATTCAATTTGAGTCTTACAATGTAAAATGTAGCTATTTTAACCAAATTTATCTAAAATAGGTGGGATTTTCCAAGAGGTTCGTTGTCTAGCGGCTAACAAGAGCTAACTAGGCTAGTTAGCATTTTGCTTTGTTTATAGTTCATAACTAAAAAATAAACTTACCTTTTAACTTGGTGTATTTGTAGTTTGAGCCATTTTGCGGCTTAAAATACGAACTACGCATTTGTACAGATTTATGAGCATTAAATTAAACATATAAAAAAAGAGTATATAAAATTATTCACATCTTCACTTAACTAAGACGCCATCAGAATTAAAGGACCCGCTCAGCTTGTCCAAATACTGCCTGAATTAAAAAAATGATCGAAACATCGACCATGCCTGATCTCATTTACAACTGAAGGAAAAAAAAGGTTTTGCCTGAAGACAAAACCTTACAATTTCCAAGAAGAATAAAAGCCCGGATATTTTAGATAAAATTACATTCTAAAGAACAATGACACACACTGTTAATCTTTTTCTTTTTTAAATAAAACCTACACTAGATTCAATAAAAGTAAAATTTTATTCATAAAGTCCTTCATATACTATTAAATACAACTCGCAGTCTATGCAAATGTAACTTTTATGTACTTAAAAAATGACTTAAGAAAAATGTAGACACATACAGTACCTTACAAAAGCATTACTGACGGGCAACCCTTTGTCACATTTTGTCACGATTACAAACTTACATTTTATGAAATTTTGTGACACCCCAATAAGGTTAAAAATAAAAATTTTGTGGTTTTTACAAAACAAAGTGTTATTTGCACATATAAAATGTATATTTGCGTTCAACCATGAATTAGTATTTTGTACAACATTTTGCTACAGTTTGTTGGACTTCATTTCCACATTGTTGTCCTGCTGACAGATAAACAGAAAAGTGTTTTTTATAGCTTCCACTAAATATTTAACATTTAAAACTGCTTTAATGCCATGTTATCAACACTTAGCACAGAAGCTAAGCTAATTGAGTTTATAAACACTTATGTCCAATTGGATCACATCATTCAACTCTTGGAAACCCCATACATTAAATGGGATGTATTAGCTTTAATACATCCCATTTATTAACTGCAAAATTCATATTTTGCACGTTTTTGTACTTCCATTTGGGTCTCAATTACTATGCCAAGCACTTAAAAAAAAGCAATAAGCAAACAACCAGCCGTGTTTCTGTCAATATTCTAAGTAAATATTTTATGGTGTCCTTTTAGCTGTTTCAAAAACAGCAGGCACTGCCCTAGCCTTTTATTGAGCAATCCAAGCTGAGCTCTAGCATGTTTGGTCAGCTGTTTTTACCGCTGTATGTGTTGTACAATGGCATATTAGGAACATTGTTGATATTAAAAAAGGCACATTTCTGGCAAAGAAAACCTCAGAAATTTTGAGATAAATATCAGATATTTCCTAAAAGAAATTAAAAAAAATTAAAAATGAAAGCATTTCTGAGCTTGAAAAGTCAAAATTTGGTAGAAAAAATGCTGAAATTTTGAGATTAATTTCAGGAATTTTCTAAAAAAAAAAAAAAAAATTAAATGTGAAAATTTCTGAATTTAAAAAGGTCAACGATTTACTAAAAAAAAAAAAAAAACACCGAAATTTGAAATGTATCTAAAAAATGTTCTAAAAAATAAAACATGGAAATTTTTAACTTTAAAAAGTAAAAACTTTACTTTGAAAAAAAAATCTCTTTAAATCAATCTTAGACATTTTCTATAATAATTAAAAAAGTCTAAAACTTTCAACATTTAGAGCACAGAAATCTACAAATTTTTTCTAGAAAATTTCTGAGTTTTTGGCAGAAATATATCCCTCTTTCTTTCTCCTCTCTGCAATGACCATAATATGCGATCGTACGTTGCACATTGTCTCTGTGTAAATGAATAAACGGCATAAAAGTGGTCCAATAAGGAGGAAAAACTCTGAAAATACGCCTCTAATCAAGTGGAAAACACCCAAAAGTAAAATAATGTTTTACAACATATTCTGGCAGCTTGGAAGTCAGATATACAGACATAAGAGGTAGCTGAAGTGACTGCGGCTGCTCTCGGGCTCCAGTTCCTCGTCTTACACCTCCCCATCGCAGACTGTCACCAGGAATCCTCATCAGAGCCAGAGTCCTCCGCAGACCTCTCAGGTGTGAGGGATGTTGGTGATTCCCTCCCGAGGGAAGTCACACTCGCTGCTCCCTCGGCTGTTTACACCCCCACTTTAATTGCCTCGTTCTCAAGTGGAAGTGTGTTCTTCATTATCACTTCTAATACACCTCTCAGCGCATCCACTCTGGCAAAGTGTCAGCTGCCACGCCAAGTTAAGACTGGAACTCGCGCACGCAGGGGCAACCAATAGAAATCCTCTGCGAACTAAATTGATTTTACAGGACCGCAGCCTGCAGTAATTTGTTACAAATGCGGAGAAGGAAAACTCGATCATTTTAGATACTAAAAGCCAGGGTCATTAAAATGAACTAACAAAATAAAAGTTTAAATTGAGAAAGCATTTTTGTTAGTTGAAATTAATAAAAATCGTAATTAGGAAAACGATAACTAGCTGGAACTATATTGTGCGTTTATAAAACTAATTCTAACATGTTAAAATTATAGCTATAATTCCCCTTAATCTTTTTTATTAGCCTTTCGACCTGACGTGCAGTTTCCGTCAGCTGTTGGCAAATTACGGCACTCCTAATCCTCCTTGGCGGCATTAACGCCTGTCAGCTAAATGGCGACAGAAAAAGTTGAGAAAAAACTCAGGAATCGGTACATATTTTTAGAAAATTGTATTTTCATTACCCAACCAACGTATACACAAATACTATATTTTGACCTCTTTTTAACTCTGATCCTAAAAATTAGCCAAAGTATGATAAAAGTAACTAATAAAAACTAAACATAGTTAAACATATTTAACTATTAATTAAATAAAAACTAGCAAACACAACCCAAAAACTGATTAAAACTTAAAAAGTCACAATGAAATACAGCTAAACTATATCGGTCCTAACCCTGCGTCATAGGGGGTTAGGGTCAATATAGCTCTGGGTTTAAGCTCTGAGTTTAAGAAAATAGTTTGACATCTGGGATGTCGTTCTGATCCGTATTTCTCAGTATTTATCCTTTCTTCTTGTCTGATCTCCACTCCGGTAACAAATCTGATTGCTGCTCCTTACAAGCAGACATAGTCGCTGTGAACTCAATTATTGCTCTACAACTGCTCACTTTCTGCACGTTTTCATCCCCAACACTAAAAACAAATGTGTTTTAATTGCAGCTGGCTGTCTGTCCAATCCAAACAGGGCGCTGTTAACCGGTTTAAATGGAGGCAGACAAGCCTCCAGGCTACCAACGTCCTTTGGGACTGTCAGGGTCATCAGCTGAACACGACGCCACACTGGTGCGCTCCTCTTTCACAGCTAAAGACCCATGCTGCGATATTAAACGCACTGGATGTCGTGCATCTTTTCACAGATGTTAGAGTCACATTGAGTTGGCTGCACATTACAGCAAAGAGCAGACATTAAACATGACAGAAGTAGCACTGCATACTATTTTCAAAGCTTTTCAGCTTTTTTCATTTGGAACAAAAACACTTCAGTGTTGATCTGTTACATGTCCAGGTCAGTTTAACTACTACAAGACAGGCTTAAGTGGTTAAATGCAAAATCTATGTGCCAATTTTTAAGTCGAATTGATTACTAAAATAATCGTTAGCTGCAACCCTGAGCAAGCAGGTGGCGACAATGGAAAGGAATGACTCCTTTTTGTTACAGGGAGAAACCTCCAGCAGATCCAGCCTGAGTACAGAGGTTAAGAATCGGCTTGAGAAACTGAAGATCAATACTTTAGTTAAAAAGCTGTGATCTCCAGTCGGGCCGTTTGCAAAGTGAACGGAGCGTCGTCAGCAGCCGGCTGCTCTCATTGGCTTTATTTATAGTCTGCGCCACGAGACATCTGCTGGAGACGAGACTCTGTCCTCTGTGTCCACACTGAGCTTGTCAGTGTTTTTTTGTTTTTTTTCCCTTCGAGGACCCCGGCCAGAACAGAAGAGAGGCGGCAGAGGCCTCCTCCAGCAGGACCAGTGTCCTCTCCGGTCGCTTTCTCCACGGATCTGATTAGCAGGACCGGAAGACAGAGGGAGGCTTCACAGTTTGTCGCGTCCCGCGTGTTAGCCGATGTTTACTCGATCTGAGAGCTGTTGTTTGTTTGGTGTCTTCAGTCTGCTTGTCGCTCGCCACTATTTCGGGACCCTGACACTTGGATGTGGCTCGACAACCTCCTGATGCGGCCTCGCCTTCCTCCTCCTCTTCCTCCATGCCTCAGTGTCACACAGAGTTTCTCTTTCTCTCCCGTTCTCTCCTCTTCGCATCGAGGACCGCGCTCCGGGCCTTGACACAAAACGCTGCGGACAGCTCTTTGCTCTTCCCGCAGAGTGGGGGGTGAACTCAGTCTGCCGCAGAGAGACGAGGAAGAGGAGGGGGAGTGTGAAAACATTCTGCTGATGTGTTCCTGAAAAGGACCGCCCTGAGAAACGCAACATTTAGAAACAGAAATCACCTGCTGAGGAAATAATGCAAAGATATGCAGATGTTTGCCAAGAAAAGACGCAAAAAAACAACAACATTATCGTTTATCGCAATGATGTCTGGAACAATTTATCGTCCAGGAAAATGCATCATCAAAAAGGACTTTTTTCAAGCGGACATCCACATCAGACGCCTGTCCTCTGAGATTCACTTGAAGCCAAACAGATTCAGTTTGATGTGAATATCTGAAACAAATCAGGTGTTTGGCTACTTAAAGATATTACCACCAACTCGTATGACCATGAAAGTTGGGGTCGTACTAGATATTAGTACAAACACTAATTGTAATGTACCAGTGTAGTTTTCAAAGATAATTTTTTTTTCTCTGCTCTTTTGCAATTTTACTGTAACACAGTTGGTGAGACTCTGAAATTGTGTACAGTTTCATTAAGGGTGCTGATTTAAAAGACCTGACATGGCAAAAACACCAAATCTTACCAAGAATGTTTGCAGTGTACACTGTAAAACAAACTACATAGGAGATTGTTTTAAGTAAATATTTCCTTAATATTGATGAAGAAGTTCTAGTTCCACTGGCAGATTATTTAACTTATAACATAGGAAAAATATGTTGCATTAAGTGAAATAATTTGCCAGTTTAACTAGTACTTTTAATCAATGTTAAGAACTTATTACTGACATAAAACAAGCTCCTATATCTTGCTGACAAATTACTTTAGTTTTGTCTTATTTGAAATGCACCAACATATTTGAACAAAAATACTTAATATTTTTAATTTTTGCAGTGGAAGCAAACTTGTCATTATTTAGAGTGTTTGCTTCTTCTGTTTCTGTCATAATGTTCAGTTTCCAGTGTTGGAAAGATTAATGCAAAAAATGTATCAAGACAACCAGTAGCATGATGTCAGACTTTGTTTACAAAATTTAGAAAAATCCCAGACTATCAGGAGGTTTTGGTGAATGGGTGAGAAAATTTAACGCTCTAATCTAAAACTCTAGACACGTCATTTCATTCAAACTTCATTTTTTTCATATGGCTTGCAGATTTTGCACAGTCATTGTTTTCTTGAGGCTTAAATGAGATGAATAAAGTAATGCTGTGGGCTTCCCTTGTCTGACTAACTTAAATCTAATTTTCTCTGCACTCATTTTTAGATTAACATATTTGTATGCCTGTTATTAATTTGTTATTTATTTATATTTAGTCATATTTAATTACTTACATCACTCTTAGGTATTTATACAGGTCTGTAAAAAATTAAGAAACCACTTATTTTACTCTATGAACTTCTGACATGTCTCTGAAATTCCAAGCAAAAATTTAGAATTTATTTGCAGAAAAGGAGAAAAAATCAAAATCGCAAAAAAGATGCAGAGCTTTCATATCTCAAATAAAGCAAAGAAAACAAACTCATGTTCATTTAGAAACAACAATACTAATGTTTTAACTCTGGAAGAGTTCAGAAATCAATATTTGGTGGAATAACCACGAGGTTTTCAATGGGGTTCAGAGAAGTGGGTTCAATTTTTTCCAGAGACTTTAGAAACTTAATTTCTTATTTGTATTGAAAATATTTAACACCTTAGATGGAGTAGCTTGTGAATCAATATATTCTATTCTTTCTATGCCCACCAAATTCATGGTTTGGTTGCTACGGAGTCGCCATAGCAACCATGACTTGTTCTAAGTCAACTCAGCAGATGAATTAATCAAAGAGTAAGAACAAAATTCCTTCTCAAATTCTGAGGAAGCTTTTTGTTTTTCAAATAAAAGTTTCCCTTTGGTTAAATAAGACAACGAGAGTCAAACACGTCGATATATAAATTCGGACCAAGCAGCTTTGTTTCTGAATCCGACTAAAAACTGAAAGTGAAATGTCTGCATGGACAAACGTTGGAGTACTAATATCTGAGTTTATCCTTGAAGCATCTGGCCCGCTGAGCGCTTTCTGGGAATGAAATGACATTCCCGCTTTCTGTTTGTTTGGGCAAAGTTTCATCTGTGTAACAATATTGAAAGGCATTAATCTTAATCCGCAGATTTTACGTGTACTTTTTTTAGTCTTAGAAGATACATCTGGTTCTTTGACTTTTAATTCCTGCTGTGAGTGCAAAGGAAAAGTGAAAAACAATTTTTTTCTTCTTCTTTTACAGTAGCGTAGGGATTATGGAGAAGGGCAGAGTGATGGCTTCAGGACACTTTGCTGCTGTTGGGAATGGGATTACAGCTCCGTCATGTGTTGCACTTTTTTTTGCAGCTGGACGAAACTTAGTGGTAATCCTTAATGGATCAAAAACAGAAAGCTCATCCTTATCACTCAGAGAAACTAAGCTTAATGACACAAGGACGATGTCTGCTTGGTAATTTCTTTCCCTTACATTCGGAGTGATGCCGAAATAAGCCCTTTATTACAAAACTCTGCAAAGACTGCAGCTGCATATGCGCCGTCAGTTATCCTCTTTCTGCAGAGCTACACACAACGCAGATTAGTTTTCCTGACTTTTGCAAAGAAGATTTAGATTTTAAAAACAATGTAATTGTGGATTTTTATTTTTATTATTTTATTTTGTAACCTGGAGAGGTTTTTCATGATTGTGACATGTAGCGATCAGAAGCTGTACGGCATATTTTAATCCAGCCCAAAACACCTGACCAGAGATGGAAGTTTTTTTTTTTTCAGGTTAGAAAACTAGAATGCAGCTGTGATAATAAATGCATTTAAATTTAACTACATTTTTATTTAATATGTTAAATTA